AGAGAGAGCACAAGCCAGTGGGGAGAGGCAGAGGGAGAAAGAGACTCCCCGCTGAGCAGGGAGCCTGATATCGGACTCAATCCCAGGACCCTGGGATCATAACCTGAGCTGAAGGCAGACACTTAACCGACTGAGCCACCCAGGCACACCTAAATAAAATCTTAAAAAAAAAAAAATTCTTTAAAACAAACCAACAAAACCCCAGAATTTGTATCATATGTTTGATAGCCTCTAAAGTTCTTTCACAAATCTCACTGGATTCTCACAAATAATTCTAGGGCTTCTAGCCATTTTCATCATCCTATTTTACTTCTGGGGAATCTCTGACAAGCCCAAGGTCACAAAGTCAGGAAATGGTAGAGCCAAGACTCAAACTTAGACCTTTTTTTTTTTTTTAAAGATTTTTTTTATTTATTCATTTGAGATACAGAGAGAGAGAGAGCTCAGCTGGTTAAGTGTCTGACACTTGGTTTCGGCTCAGGTCATGATCTCAGTTGTGAGATCAAGGCCCCTGTCAGGCTCCACGCTTAGCGCGGAGTCTGCTTGGGATTCTCTCCCTCTGCTCCTCCACCTCCTCCCTCCTGGTGCATGCGTGCTCTTTCTCTCTAAAATAAATAAATAAATCTTTTTTAAAAATGTTAAGAGGGGGATGCCTGGGTGGCTCAGTCGGTTAAGTGCCTTTGGCTCAGGTCATGGTCCCAGGGTCCTGGGATCGAGTCCTGCATCGGGCTCCTTGCTCAGCGGGGAGCCTGCTTCTCCCTCTCCCTCTGCCTTCTGCTCCCCCTGCTTGTGCTGTCAAATAAATAAAATCTTAAAAAAAAAAATGTTAAGAGGGTAGGGATCTGATGTCATGTGTTCTTATCAAAAAAGAGTGTGTGTGGGGGACACAAGGAAACTTCTAGAGGTAACAAATGTTTATTACCTTGATTGTGGTGATGGTATGCAGGCATATGCATATGTCCAAACTCATCAAACTGTACACATATGTACAGTTTTTTTCTATAAATCATACCTAAATTAAGTTTAAAAAAAAAAAAGACAAAATTATCTTACTTCATAGACTGGATGAGACCAAACCGAGCCAGCAGCAGATCACAATACAGCTCCAGAATTTCCATGGCCTCCACAAGGTAGTCTTCTCGGATAATATGCTCCACTCGGATCCGAGCTCGTTCATCCTTCCCAGCAGCCAGATAGTCAGCAATCTCTTTCCTTGCTTTCTGGGCCAGTTCCGCTAAGGCACAAATCCCATCCACTCACACAGCAGCAGTACACTGGGCCCTGGCCTGCAGGAGACTTCTACCCCAGGAGTGAATTGGGTGTTTCTAGTACATGCCTAGCTCACTTGTCTTTTACCAAATCTAGTCCCAACTCATCTAGTCTCCAGAATTTGCTCCTTTGTCTAGGTGAGAATATTGCTGTTATAGCCACAAATTTACCTCAGGAGTCATGTTACCAATTCCCTGCAACAGAATGATTCAATCTAACTTGTCACAAAGAGCAGCAGTAATTATCTAAAGCTTAAAGGATATGGGATCCCTAAGACTTCACAGTACTAGCCTCACAGAGCTAATATTAGGATGGGAGACCCCAGTGATTTGGGGAAAGAAAATATATGGCAATCATGCATTACTCACTTTTTTTTTTCTCCAATAGTTTAAGACGGTTTATGACTAATCGCAAATTGACTCGTAAACGCTCAGCTTTAAATCCAGAGCCCAGCATGCTGTGC